TGCACCCCTGAAAGCCCAACCGCCTCGGGGACAAGCCCCTGCGGATGGCGCGATAATCTCCGGCTCAGGAGCAAGCTGCTGATAACCACCATCCTGAACCCTGCTGACTTCAGGGACGGTGATCGCCTTGGTGCCGAGCAGCTTCTCAACATCAGCCGTAATCTCCTCGATCGACCGGGATGGTTTCTTGTTGTAGCTCTCCTCCTCCTCCTCACCCTCCACTCTCCCCTCAAGCCGCCAGGGCTCACTCCCCACCCCTGCGTAGACCCTCAGCTCAGCCTCAGCATCCCTAATCGCAGTATTCTGCTTAAACTCTCCCATCCTCTTCTCATGCTGCGCCTTCAATTTTTGAATCTCGGCCTGAACCTCCGCAATCTTAGCCTGAGCTCTCTCCCGCATCTTGTCAGCCAACCCCGGCTCAAGACGCCCGGTATAAGGCTTCTTAGGCAACTGCTCCAAAACATCCCCACTCTGCGCCTCAAAAATCCCCTCCGTAAGCGAAGGAGCGCGCCCTTCTTCCCAAGCCCAAGATCAGAAACCTCCAGCTGCCCAATCCGATACGGCGACGACAAAATCTCCTCCATCCACTCATGATTCTGCTGGTACCGATGCATGCTCATCTCCCGAGGACTCAAGTGATCAAACATATCACCCCGATGAACATCCTCGTCATCATCCAGCGCCCCATCAGCACTCGGATACCCAGCACCCATCGGGTGTCCCGGCTGGGCCTGTTGCCCCCGTCTCTTAGACGGGGGCTGGCCAGGTCCGCCCGGTCCACCAAGATATGCCGTCCGAGTGTTCATTGGCTGCTGTTGCATTGGCGGCACATAAATCGACTGTCCGCGCTGAGGGAAGGGAATCTGCGGCCAGTTGACGCGATCAGACAGCATAAACTCCTTGCGAACAATCTGCCCCAGCTGAAAAAGGTGTTGACGGTTGTTCATGATCGACTGTATTTGAGGTGGCACGCCAAAAGAACTGGTGGGGTATCTGTCTTGATTCTCGCTCGGGCCGTAGTGAACAATCCAAAGATTCGGGTCGATCTGGGGGGGGTTCGCGACCTGGGCATCACGGGCGTGAGCGAGGCGAAACCGTCTTCGAGAGTGCATGGTGATCTGCTCGCCGGCGCGCCAGCCACACTTTTGGAAGTAAATCTCAAGAACCTAGACTCATTGTTAGCCATATTGCACCCATAACAAAACTCCTCGTCTAGAACAAGGGAGACGCATCCGTACCAAACCATTGTTGAGGGGGTTGCTGAGCATAACCTCAGGAGAGGCCCAGTAGTATCCGTCGCTCGAGAACTCGTTTCCGCGGCGGGCAGTCGGTTGCCACATGAGAAAGATGGTGCTGTCCGCGGGGCAATCGAGGTAGGTCCAGTAGAAGGGCGCCTTATCCCGGGCGATGCTGGGAGCCTGCATCAACCATTTTGTCACATCGTTCAGTTCGACCCTGGACATCAAAGGATAGCGGAATGTCGAAATCAGGTGGACATGCGGCAGCTATCAATCGCAAGTATTAACAAACATGGCTCTACCAGATTTGCGACGGGAATATTGGAACGGGCAAATACACACCAAGTCCTGGTGGACATTGTGACTTGGGTCGGACATTGTGAAAGGCTATGATGTCGTTGAAAATGCTGAAAATTCAGGCAAAGCGGAGTCGAAGCGACCAATGCAGTTGGCCCTATGGCCGGGGTTATTCTGTGGTAGAATTCGGTTGCGATGCGGATAACTCTGGTGTTGCGCGACGAGCTCTGGTCGAGTTTGCGACCGCGCTTTTCCTGTCGCGGATTGGAGGTTGACTTTGGTTGATTGACTGCTTTACACTCGCGCCCAGGAACTGTTGCCAGTGGCCCACCAGCCAGAGTGATGGACCGTGCGTCACCTAGCCGCCCGTTGCCAGGCACTGCCAAGACAATGGCCGTCCATCCACGTGACTACCATCACTCCAACCACCAGGCATACTTCACATTCATCACATACGTCATACCTCTCTCATATTCAAGGCTAAAATAGTTTGTTGAATCAGAAAATCATAAAATTCATTGCTTGACAACTGCGGTATCTAATCTCAGGCTCCGTTCCATACGAAACATTCACGAGCTAACTATCCATCTAAATCAGCAGCCCGCATCAGCCTTTTGTTGTTGCCAATGTCCCTTCCCATTAATCCATGCTCCAGTTTTATATTTATGCTTGGTAAGTAGAAGCAGAGACGTTGCCTCCTCTGCCGGTCCAATTGACGTGGATATCTTGCCCCTCGGGGTACTTGGCCGTGGCAGCCTCGGGCTTGATTCTGAAGGTGTGGGCACCGAAGTAATCACGCTGAGCCTGGAGGAGGTTGGCGGGCAGGTCTTTGGTTCTGTAGCCATCAAACCACGACAGGGCAGTGGAGAAAGAGGGGATGGGGAGACCAAGGAGCGAGGCCTTGGAGACGACGTCTCTCCAGCCGGGCTGAGCCTTGTGGATGGCCTTGTTGAAGAAGTCGTCAAAGAGGAGGTTCTCAAGGTCGGGGTTGTTGCGATAGGCGGCGGTGATGTCCTTGAGGAAGACGGAGCGGATAATACAGCCACCACGCCACATGAGGGCAATGGAGGGCTTGTTGAGCTTCCAGCCGTACTCCTTGGCCGCCTCCTGCATGAGCATGAAGCCTTGTGCGTAGGAGATGATCTTGGAGGCATAGAGGGCCTGCTCGAGGTCCTCGAGGAACTGCTCCTTGTTACCCTCGAAGGTGGTGGCACGGCCAACAAACTCGAGCTTGGTGGAAGCCTTGACACGCTCCTCCTTGATGCCAGACAGGCAGCGAGCGAGCACAGACTCGGCAATGAGAGTGACGGGCATGCCCAAGTCCAGGGCGTTGACGGCAGTCCACTTGCCGGTACCCTTCTGGCCGGCCTTGTCGAGGATCTTCTCGACGAGAGGCTTGCCATCCTCATCGTTGAAGTACATGATGTCCTTGGTGATCTCGATCAGGAAAGAGTCGAGGACACCGTTGTTCCACTTGGTGAAGGTGTCACCAATCTCCTTGCTGGACATGCCGAGACCGCGCTTCATGATATCGTACGCCTTTGTTCTGACTGTTAGCCCCCTGATTCATAGCTGACCTGCCTTTGGATTTGGCCTTGGCATTGCAGAACAACATACCTCACAGATCAACTGCATGTCACCGTACTCGATACCGTTGTGCACCATCTTGACGTAGTGACCAGCACCCTCGTCACCAACCCACTCACAGCAAGCCTCACCACCGCTCTTGGCAGCAATGCTCTGGAAGATGTCCTTGATGAAGGGCCAGGCTGACTCATCACCACCGGGCATGATGGAGGGGCCGTAGCGGGCACCCTCCTCACCACCGGAGACACCGGCACCGACGAAGCGGAGACCCTTGGAGGCAAGGTACTTTGTTCTCCGGTTGGAGTCGGGGAAATGTGAGTTACCGCCATCGATGATGATGTCACCAGCCTCGAGAAGGGGAAGGAGGGTCTCGATCCAGTCATCGACAGCCTTGCCGGCCTGGACGAGAAGCATGATGCGGCGGGGGCTCTTGAGCTTCTTAACGAACTCCTCGGTAGAGTGAGCGCCGACAATGCTCTTGCCCTTGGCCTCGTTGGCAAGGAAGCGGTCGACCTTGGAAACGGTACGGTTGAAAGCGCAAACGGTGAAGCCATGGTCGGCCATGTTCAGAATCAAGTTCTGGCCCCTTTTTTCACGCACAGTCAGCACATCTGCCCCCGGGGGCTGCTCTGGGGAACCGCCGGAGCTGGGTAGTAGACTTACATGACGGCCAGGCCGATGAGGCCGAGATCAGCACTTCCACCATCATCACTGTTAGCATTTCTTTGGGATTGGAGGTTAAGGAGGGAGCCAGCAGCGTTCACAACGCCGCCGACGTTGATATTCGCCAGGCGGGCGCTGAGGAGGGGGACTCAGTAGGTGTAGATAGGCAAAGCACTCCGTCACCGGCAAAGCTGTTGTAGTAGAAAACGACAGGCGTGTTGCACCGGCATTGGCTGGAGTGAGGCCATACCTCCTCTCTCTCTCGCACGCCGATGACTCGAGCACAGCGCAAATACGCCCCGACTTCCTGCTTTCTGGGTGACGGAGCGGGGAGGTGGGGTAAAGAGAACTTACACAGCGCCAGACATTGTGAAGGAAATCTGCAACAGGGGGACGGTCAAGGTGCAAAAGGTGAAGTTGTAGAGGTGCTGTCCGGAGCAGAATTGATGGAAGGGAGTAATCCTCAGCCAGGGGGATTTGTTATGGAGAAAGTCAGAGAGGGAGGGGAGAAATGGCGGACTGAATGACGAAACTTTTAAGAGGACCCGAGCTTTCGAGGTCGGAGGGGGAGGGTCATTGTTCAAGTGCGTGCAGCGGACAGCGGACAGCGGGACAGCGGGCAGCTTGGCCTGACGGGAGACTCCCAAACAGCGGATAATTTGACGCGGGGCTTACTCAGGCAGTTACCTCGACCATGACCATGACCGCCTCACGACCCAACTGAAATGAAATGCCCGTAACGTGCCACCTCCTCCCGTCACTACCTCTTCTTCTGAGCCCTTGGACACTGGGAAGCTTCCAGGTTGCCCCCAATGACCGGGATGTGCGCCCTTGCCTGGCCCCAGAAGGAGGGGACAACCCAGGAGGTGCCTTTGTATTTTTATCAGATCCTCCCAGTCGTCTGATGAAGCTATCGGTTTCGCCGCCCCGGAGCTTGGAGCTTGGGGGACCGTGGGGACTTGGCTTCTGTTCCACGATCCGCCATCGCGTGGGAATCAACTGGGCGGCTGGACCGAGTGACAAATCCCACCGTCGCTCGGGGCATCTCGACTGTGTAGCTTCTCATTGAGAGCAAGGTCCCGGGTTTTTGTTGGGAATCCTCGAGCCAAAGCAGACCCTACATACATCCTTTTCTTAGCCCGACACGTACTGCTTCGGATTCATCAGCTTGTTGGTTTCGAAACACCAGTGCCCCCCAAGGTGCCGCTTGGGGGAAGCACGGCACAGACAACCGCAGACATCGACCCGCCGCGCGCATTTGGACGAACTTGAAGGTTCCGGCGCCGGATCCCACCAATGCCCACATTGACAGCAACCTCCGTCAGTCAGCCATGACCCACGGGAGCTTACCGCCCAGCTGCCGGACATATACGTTCCTGTCTATCAGCCTGGTTCGACATGCTGCTCTCTGTAATTCAGATGATGGGAAAAACCTGGGATTGGACGGTCATCCACAATGTCAACTGTTCTTCCGCGGATACATCGGAGCTAATCATCTTCAAGACGAACCAGTTCAAGGAGATGTTACATCCACCGAGAACCACAGACCTTATAACAGCAAGCTTCTCACCGACACTAGCCTAACAAATAAAAAGTGACACTGACAAGTCCGGTTCTTGAAGTGTTCGGTTGGCGCCCCCACGGTTTCGAGATCTGAGGCGAGTGGACTCCCCACCCAACGATGGACTGCTGTCCGCAATGTTCTTACACAACAGCTTTCACCAAATTCCCGCAAAGCACTGGGGGCAACATTACTTCAAGAACCAGGGGACCGCTTTTTTCGACTTCAGGCTCTTCTTGCCATGAGCCAATGGGAATTATTTCCCTCGAGTGAGAAAAAAAACTGAACTCCGATCACTGTCCGTTCAAAGGTCCGGTGTTCGCAAGGGTAGAAGCAAAGGAAAAGTACAGCCCTTTCGCGTCTTTTGCTCCTCGCGCGCCGGTTTGTTAAGCCAAGCTGTCGCAAAAAAAACAAGGAGGGGTAGAAAAGACCCCTCCACTGCCATGACCCCTTGGTTGGGTGGGGTTGTGATCGTGGGCCCCTTGTTGGTTAAACAGACTGTGGATGATGATTAAGCTCCAACGTCCGACGTCGTCTATGCTGTTTGGCCCAGAAGATCAATGATATCAGAACGGGCCTCACAACTCAAATATTATCCACAGTACAGATGAAGAATGGCAATTGCTACGAACTGACACAGAATAGCTCTTAGCCAACCCTTTGAGGCAATGGCCTTCACCTTGCCGCCTTAACTCCACAGTGTGACGGCAGTCTTCAACTCAGTCAACCCTTGGCGATTGCCATCCAACATATCTCCGGATATTCTAAAGACATGACTGAAATATATGAGTACTAAAGGTTCCCAAAAAATCGAATCATGGTGGTGATAAATAGCACCAAGACTCCTTGGATGTTCTGAGACTTTGCAAACCATACGTACCGGAAATGCCTTCCCCCACGGAGATATCAAAACCGCCGTGATGGAACCCTCTCTCTGTTGATATCTCCACTGTATGCCAATCCCAAGAATATCTACATAGCGCACGGCCATAAAACGAACTGTACTTGTCCGCGGAAAGAGAACAAGAGCTTATCATTTTGCCTCGCCTACTACTCACTCTGTGAACCAAATGTGACACTTTGAGTTACCAAGCCAACTTCAAAGCCCTACCTCAAACGGGAGTTGGCAGGTTTAGATATCGTCAATATTTATATTCAATCTCTGAAAAGAGTATATGTAAACTGGTTATCATTCTTGATTTGACTTATAGCAGCAGCCATCTTCCCCAGGATGTGATAAAATTTAAGCTCTGGTGGACTAGGGAAAGCTATCAACGCTCACCCGCGACCCCAAATCAAATCTCTGACGAAACTGGACCAGACAGCAGCGTTTACTTAAGATCTGATGACCCTGGGGAAAACAGCAGCGCTCGCTCACGATACTTCAAAAGAGCCCTCGCGAATTTGGGAACAACAGCTTCGTTCACCAACGATATCTCAAATTAAAGCTTGGACGAATCTTCTTAAAAGTGGGGATGAACACCTTCCAAATATAGTTGTATCATCACAACGAAAAGTCTTCATGATCACACCAAGACATCCAAGCCATTGTCATATGTTACTGTACATTATTATTGTATCAAACAAGAGCTCGCCACGAGCCCTCGATGCCAACCCATCAAGCCACCTCCATCGTCTACCAATTCAGTGAAACCCCTATGCCCTGAAACAACGCCCATAACCGTTCCAATTACGCCCATGCTGTAAACTATCCTCCCGTCCCAGTCTCGTAAACCACCCGGGGCTTCAACCAGAACTTTTGATGCCTCTTGAGAAGAGAAGAGAAAACAAAGTATGTACAATAGTTTAAAAATGCCGCTGCCCATCCCCTCTCAACTGGGGGCTGCTCGTCATGAAAAGTCTTGTAATTATATTGCACCATGAAAAAGCCATGAGAAGACCACCCCCACCCCCATCACCAACCGCCTCAATAATCCTCAACCTCACCGATAGAAGACATCTTGAGGTCAATCTCCGACTTGACACTCCTGATCGAAGCCTCAATACGCTTCCGAATAATCGCACCGACCGACTTGGCAAGGTTCTCCTCATATTGCTTGAGCTGTTTCTTGAGATTAGCAATCTCCGCCCGCACACTGGCCTTGTCGTCATGGTCGTCTTCATCTCCATCGTCATCATCATCATCCCCATCCTCTTCTGACTCCTCTTCATCTTCTGACTCTTCCTCCTCCACAACTTCCTCCTCCTCAATCTGGGCAACAGGAGTACCAGTATTCGCGGTAAGTGGCGTAACAGCATCAGGAGCAACAGCCGGCGTAGGCTGATCAAGACCCTCCATCGGCGTCTCTGGCGCATTCATGAAAGCATCCATCAGCGCAGCCTCGTCAAGCTCCTCCTCGACCTTATCGAGTTGCTCATCATCCTCTTCACCCTCAGCATCCTCCTCATAATCTTCAGACTCCGACTCCTCGACAATTCTACTGTCTAGAACCTCCGTCCTGGTGCTGACAGCCTCCCGATCAGCCGCCAATAACCTTTCCACCTCGGCCTCCTTGTTCTGGATCTCGAGCTTCGACAATCGCTTGCGGAAACGACGATTTCTGGCATCGTGCATTGGGGGCGTTATACCGTGTGGCCAGCGATGACCGTGCTCAACAGCCTTTGGCAGCGGCGCAGTCTTGGCCTCCTCCTCGTTCTTGACTTCAGCAAAGACCAACATCATCTGACAAATATCCGCGGACTTGACCATGGCCTTTTTATCCCACGTCTTCATACCCTCAGTGATGGTAGGGAGATCGAGGAGAATCGCCGCATAGTACTTCCCGCGAACAATCCACACAGCACGTCGACCTTCGTCGTCCAGAAACTTAAAGTTGACCTCGGCACCATTGCCGATTTTCTTTTCTGTGATGCACTGTCGTATATAATCGCAGTCTTCGTTGTCCATAAAGCGCATGACAAATTGTTCCTCGATAACCGGATCAATCTCGCGATCTTCCGCCTCCGAGTCGTAGCCTTCGCCGAGAGGCCGGTGAGGAATCTTGCCTACTGGCTTCAATTTGAGCGTTGGTTTAGTCGAGATGGTGCCGCCGGGAGTTGTTGGTTTGAGCGTAATCTTCGTCTTCTTGGCTAGTGGTCCGGATCCATTGGCTAATGGTATGTCCTCATCGTCATCACTCTGATGAGCCCTCTTCTTGAGTGTGGGCTTTGGTCTTCTCCCAGCCTTGGTAGTTGTGACTTTTGGGGCGGGCGGAGCGACGGCGACCTCTGCTGTCGAACTCGCTGCTGGGAAATAGCCAGAGGGAGGATTCGGCTCGGCGGGGGTGGGTGGAAGCGATTTTCGCACCAATTTGATCTTTGGCGCGCCTGATGGCGTTTGAGCACCGGGAGACATTGCGCTGGATCCGGCGAGACCAGGTGGAGGACTTGTCGCGCCAAGGGCTGAGCTTGTGGTTTTCAGGGTGAGTCGCCCGGGAACGGGTGGGGGAGGTGGTTGTTCCATAATGGCGATTGGGATGGGTTTTTCGTATCGCAGTTAGGACTTGTCTCGCGCGAGCGATTCGATTCTGGAGGTATGCGGTTTAGAGGAAAAGTCGCGACTCGGGGTAAGATGTTGTAGGATGAGTTCCTGGCTCGGTGTCGCGGCGGGCGGGAGTTTGAAGGAGTTCTTGAGCTGAGGATTGGAAGCGCAGTCAAAGAAACCGTAATCGCCGTGTCGCCATGAACGTGGGAAAAGGTGATGGAACGGGGAGAAGAAAATTCAACCTGCCCCGCGTCGAATTGCTGCTGTTTGGCAGGCGGGAGGTGGCCAGCAAGGTGCCTTTGGGAAGCTCCAAAGTGGATGTTGAGATTCTAGAGCTCGGGCCACTGGCATTCACTTTGCCGCTCGATAAGCCTTATCAGAGGATGGCCCACAATTCCCTGTATTCCCAATGGCTGCACCAGCCACCTACAGTGACATCAGCCACAACTAACGTTGACTTCGAAGTGGGCCGATGGTCTTGGAAGCAACAGCGTTTTTGGCACGTCACGTCTCTCTTCCTCCACCCAATTTCACCAAGACACCATCACATCTCTTTTGTGAGCCAGACATACTCGGTTGAAAAACAGTTGCGGGAGAATAGCCGTCGGCTCACAGGTACGTACCATACATACGCAACGGTCTTGCTCTCAATTCCGTTGTCGGCGCAACACTTGGAACAAGAAATTCATCATGTCGTACTCGGGTCCTCCAGGTCTCCCAAAGTCGGCGTCGCACCCTTCGCTGCCCCCGCGCCCTCCGACTACCAAGCTCCCCGGTGGCTTCAAGCCTGCCTTCTCGGCCGCCCCGACACATCCGCCGGCTCCCTCAGTCCCCGGTTACTCGGCGCCGCCCTCATACCCAGGCTACGGCGCCGCTGCCGCACCCGGCTATGGCGCGCCCCCTTCAGCAGCGCCCTACGTGGGCAACCCATCAACTCCCTCCGTAGGAGCTGGATATGGTCAACCAGGAACATACAACTATCAACAACAAAGCTACCCGCAAGCGCCAGTCGCACAAGCAGCCCCGAGCTACTATGGCGCTCCCGCTACCACCAGCTATGCCACACCTCCCCAAATTCGGAACCCCTTCGCCGCCCCTGTAGCAGCCTCTGCCGGTCCCGCGGGTGACTATGATCCAGAAATGGCGGCTCAGATAGCGCAATGGCAAAGCGCCTACATGCCAAAAGATCCATCAGACCCGGCAAACAAGACTGCTGCCAAGGGCACAAATGGACAAGCAACAGCCGATACAACCGACCCCAACGTTGGTTGGGACGGGACCGACAAAAAGAAAACGGTATACCGAGAAGGCGGCGGCAAAAAATGGCAAGACGACACTCTTCTCGAATGGGACCCTACCCATCTACGTCTTTTTGTCGGTAATCTGGCTGGTGAAACTACAGATGACTCTTTACTGAAAGCGTTTTCCCGGTGGAAGAGCGTACAAAAAGCCAAGGTTGTCCGTGATAAGCGAACGACGAAGAGCAAGGGTTTTGGCTTTGTGAGTTTTAGCGACGCAGACGACTTCTTCCAGGCAGCCAAGGAGATGAACGGCAAGTATATCCAGAGTCATCCTGTGGTTGTGCGCAAAGCGAAGACAGAGATCAAGCCGCAGGCTGTCAAGGATGATAGGAAGGGGAAGCATCAGCATAAGAGGGGTCACGGGGGAAATAAGGCTGGGAATGGGATGGGAGGACAGGAGAAGGGCGCTGGGGCTTACGAGCCGCATCTTGGTCCTGTGGCTGGGGGTGGGATTGTGAAGCCGGGGCAGAAGACGAAGGGAGGTTTAAAGTTGCTTGGTTGAGTGGAAGTATTGGCATTGTTTTCAGCATTGTTTGAGCCTATCATTTGGTCGTTCAGAAGTGTGCTTGGATATTGGATGCTACAAGTGTATTGCTATGAGATTGCAATTAGCCGCTGTGTATAGATTCTCATTTGGTAGATAGATGTGGGCTTCCATGGGTGCCTAGATTGGTTTCGCTATCATAACAAGTAAAAATTCACTAATGTATCATCTTGACCAAGAATTTATGTTTTGTATTCTGCCATTTTACGCCTCCTATGCTGCTATGCTATGTATGATGTGTATTGTCTGGTAATGATGATAATGTACGCCTTGCCCGCCTGTCTGTCTGTCCGTATACAGACAGAAAGACGGATTTGAATGCCCAAAGAAAGTCTTCCAAGATAGCGCCGCCGTCTCCCGAACCCCCCTTCCCCACTACTCCGTATGTGTTCGCCTGTACTTTTCCATGCTGTTTTGTTTTCTGTGCTCGACTCCAACTCTTTCCCGCTTCCGTCCCGTTTGGTAGGTATAGATGTTGACGAAGTAAGTTTAACTTTAAACGTTGTCTGGTTTCCTTCTTGTTGTTCCGGGGGTATCATAGATATACAAATAACTGAAAAGAAATATAAGAAAATCAAATACAGTGTTACAGCGGTTTAATCCTCCCTCCTATCCTGCAAATGCTTATCCGGGGATTTCGACACGGGTCTACTAACGACCTCTGCGCCGTCCGCGGTAAACAACACCCCGTCGTCGTGATCGTCAAGACTTTCCCTCCGCAACAAACCCGCGGCTTCACCCCTGCGAGGGAGATCATCATCATCATCCTCCTCCTCGTCGCTGCCGCTCGAGGGACCATCAGTGGTGTGCTCTTCCAACGGATGCTCCTGCCCTTTATGCACACCTTCCTGCGCTTCCCGTCTCATCTTGGAGATTTTAATGTAATTGTACGCTCCTATCGCGACGAGGGTTACAGTCAGGCCGATGATGTTGACAAATGTCATGCGATCGCCAAAAACAATCGCAGCCGCCGAGATGGTGACTGCCTCTTTGAATATCCCCGCGATGGACAAGGTGACGACGCTGGTGCGTTGAAGGAGGGCGAACTCGGCGGCTGTCATGAAAAAGGCGATCATGCCGGGGAATAGGAGGATCAATGGCGCCATGAGGGTGCCGCGTTCTTCTGCTATGGCGGAGAGGCCTTTGATGAGGCCGGAGACGCCCTCGACGGGGAAGGCGATGGTCAACAGGGAGACGAACATTACTGGAGCGAGGAAGAAGATGGAGCTGAAGGGGTTGGAGGTGGCGGGGTTGCGGAGGAGGAGGATTTGGGTTAGGGCCCAACGGAAGCCGCTGAAGAAGGCGGCCGAGATGACGAGGAGGAAGCCGGGGAGGTTGAAGGAGACTTCGCCCGCTACCATCATTACTACGCCGAGGGTCATGGTGGCGATGATGGCTGTTAGGCGCCAGGTGGGGGATTCGAGGCGGAAGAGGAAGGCGAAGAGGAGGACGAAGGCTAGGGAGGAGGATTTACACATTGCTAAAGACACGGTGAGTTGGGTGACTGGGGGAGTTGGAGAGAAAGGCAGGGGGCTTACTGTAGAAGGTGAGGGTGATGAATTGCAACGAGGTGTTCCCTAATCCTATGTCGAGACCTGTTGCTAGACCGCAGGGGCCGATGCGGGTGAGGTAGAATAACGGTGACATTAGGGGTTTCTTGGATTCTGGCGAGTCCAGCTCGCCTGGATTTGGAACATGGCCGTTGGTGGGCCGGAAGGATGGGAAGAGATATAGGACGAGGGAGGCTAGGGAAAATTGCACGAGCATGTGCATGGCTGTTGTAAACATAGGAAATGGGAAGCCGAGCTTGTCGGGAGAGAACATCCATTTGTTGTACTATAAGATAGGTCAGTATCTCATGGCAGAGAGAGGCCAAGGGTTTTTTTGGGGGGGGGATGACTTACAAGTGATATCAACAGGGAAAAAAAGTACCATAACCCAATGAGCCCAGCGTTGATCAACAACTCCTTCATCACAAAGCGGTCCGCCTCTTTTTGTTCGTCTGGCGACACCTTCTCTCGTACTATTCTCTGGTCGAGTAATTGGTTGCGAGTTCTCTTTTTCTTTTTTCTCGTCCGCTCCTTTGCCGTCAAACCAGTCTCCTCGTCGTCATGAAGGTCCTCGTCTGACAATTCCACGTCCAACTCGTCCATCCGTAGAGGTTCTCCCAGACTGCCCTCCTCTGATATTTTTGGCTCGTCGATGCCATGGCCCCGCGCGTGTGGCGACCGGTGACGATTGTTAGCGACATTGGCGGGATTGATCAAGCTGCTTCGTCGGCGACGGTGCCCTGAGGGTGCTAGAGAATCCATCTCGATGTCGTCACCAGCCAATTTGGATCCCGTTGCGGGATGTGGGTGCGTGGAGGATGTCCAAGGGCCAGGGACTGATACAACAGCTGCTAGCGGTGGTGTAGCGGATAGCGGTGTCGCGTGCCCGGGAGGTGTTGGCTTCTGCTGATCGAGATGTCTCGGGACAGAGACGTCGGTGTCGATGTCGGCGTCAGAGGGCGGTTCAGGGACGGGGAGATGGGACGGAGGATGGGCAGGTTCAATTGATGGGAATAGGGAAGGGAGAGACATTGTTCAAACGTCGGAGCCCTCACTGGACTCATCATGGGGTTCAATTCGATCAATTCCAGCGCATTGGTGTTCGCTAAACTCTGGGCCCGGTGGTCCCTAGCATCATCAGCCATGGCAGCAAAGATGAGCGGTGGAGCGGTTGGGGCCCCGAGACGTGGCCGGATTGGTCCCAGCGATGGTCCAGCAGCAGCAGGAAACAGGGGGACCGCCGGCTTTGGGCGAGGTCGCCAGTGGTTGGCTGCCTTTGCCAAGCCTACTTGGAACGCGCCGGAGCATTTTGCCTGCCCGCTACCTGGCATTTAACTGTCTTCCACCGTTAACCCATCCGTGATCGCCTGCTATCTTTGCTTTCCATTTGATGTTTGATGATGTCTCTCTCTGTCTTCCAATAACGTTATCTGGTCTGTTTCGTCATTCCTGGTTTGTTCATTTTTGTCCGCCAGGAGAATTACAAGAGTGGAACGGACCGAAACCAAAACGTGGTGACCGGAACACATAGCCGAAGATGTACAACAACCCCAGAGACAGAGAGTAACACCTACTCACAACGACGACTGAACCCTGAACTACCTCTACGGCAAATATCATCACTCCCTCAACCATCTCGGTTGACTAACAAGATCCTGAGAACAGGCCGTAGGGTGATGGGATGTTGACAAGAGCCAAGCTTCCAGTCCACCTACTGCTTGGATCACGTATGTAATGGTTACTAATAGCCTCGTGCAGCTTACCATCACGGCCAGGCGACCCCTTTATCCTGCACCGTTCGTTGCTGTGTTGCCGTGGAGCATTTCACATGTACTACTTCGTCTGAACTCTGGAATCTGTACGGCTTTCCATCTCTGGATGGTGGTCACGAGACAAAGCCGGCATGATGCTTAGCCCGGAAATAACCCCACCATCCACATGCATTTACAGATGATTGTACAAGAGCCTGTCTTCTCAACCTTGGGCAGCTGATGGTGACGAGAGATGTATCAGAATATCTTCACGGACCCCTTCGCTTCTGTTCTGCCCATATCATCGAAGCCCCAACCTCCAAAAGCCCACCCATGGAAGCTTCTCTCAGCTTGAGCAATCTGACGGAACTAGGCAGGTGAGAGTACTTTACCTATGCGCTTCGGGGTCTTTATTCGGCCTCACAGCAAGCTCAAAACTATCGCCATTGGAGGGAGGCAATGGGTGCTGACTCAGTATGCCACCCGAAACACCCGCATCTGCTGCAAAACGGCCAACACGATAAAGAGGAATGAGGGTTTCCAGAGCTGTAAGCCTTATTCATGATCATGTAACGAATCTAAAAACCTATATATATTTGAGGTGGTGTTGAAGGTCGCAATATTTTGGGTGTCAGAATTAGATCTTGATTTGATCGTGGGGCAGCTTTCCATCCTGATCTAGAAACTGATCGACCAAAGCGTTTGTTGGCGTCATTGTTTGTTTCCCCTCCAAGAGCTAGCTACATATCTGATCAAAGGTACCTTAGCTTTGTGGTTTCTTATTCATCACGCATGCCGGCTGGCTTCAAGTACTATCAGCCAGACCCCGCCAATACCGACGCTTTGTCAACGATACCGCCGTTCAAAATGGCGGCATCGTGTTCGACCCAGGGTGCTGGTAGCCAGATGAGACAACAGGGTGCGGGGTATCTGCCGATTGAGAATTATGGCTTGATTGGAAACATGAGGACATGCGCCCTCGTGGGCATGGATGGCAGTGTTGATTACATGTGTTGGTTGGTTTGTCTGAATTCGAGATCAAAACATCTGGCTAATTGATATATACAGGCCCGAGTTTGACTCTCCTTCTGTCTTCTGCCGCCTCTTGGATAAGGATAAGGGGGGTTACTTCAGCATCCATCCAGCTTCCCATCTCAATTGCACCACCAAACAGCAGTACTTGCCTTCTTCCAACATCCTCCAGACCAGATACATTCACGAAGATGGTGTCGTGGACCTGGTGGACTTCTTCCCTCGACCCAAGAGCTCAAAGGTCATCTTCAAGGGGCCCAAACAATCGGCCTATCGAGAGATGACCAGCGTTCAAGAAGAGCTCAAGAAATGGCTCGTCCGACGTGTAGAGTGTATCCGCGGCCACCTCGAGCTCGACGTCGAGCTCTTCCCGGCCTTTGAGTACGCCACCGAACCACACGAGACCACCATCGTCCAAGAAACCAACGTCGCCCACGGTTCAACAAGCAAAACCGTCACCTTCCACAGCAAAAACGTCAAGCTCCAACTCGACGTCACCATCGACCGGGGTGAAGACAACGACGACAAGTACCCCAGCGTCAAGTTCAAAAAAGTCATGAAAGAAGGCATGCTCGGCGAAGGCGTGGTAGCCAGCATCCACATCCACCCAGGCCAGGCCGTCTCCTTCGTTTTGAGGAACGACCTCCCCAACCACGTAACAGAGGTCATCTCCCCCGCCGTCCTCGACACCCAGCAACACGACACACAATCTTATTGGTACAACTGGATCTCCCAATCCAAATACAAAGGCCGCTGGCGCGAAGTCGTCTCCCGCTCCCTCATGATCCTGAAGCTCATGACCTACGAACCCACCGGCGCCATCATCGCCGCCCCCACCTTCTCCATCCCCGAAGACATCGGCGGCGTCCGCAACTGGGACTACAGGTTCTGCTGGGTCAGGGACGCATCCTTCACAATCTACATCCTCCTCCGCCTCGGCTTCACAGAAGAAGCAGACGCCTACATGGACTTTATCAACGAGCGCTTCCTCCAATCCCGCGTCTCCGACGGTGGACTTCCCATCATGTTCACCATCCGAGGCGAGACTGACATCCCCGAGCGGGAACTTTCCCATCTAGACGGGTACAAAGGCTCCAAACCGGTGCGCGTCGGCAACGGCGCGGCGTTTCATCAACAATTCGACATTTACGGCGAACTGATGGACGCCATCTACCTCTACAACAAATACGGCAAACCCATCCACTACGACGCCTGGGTGACGGTCCGTCAGCTCTTGGATTACGTCCTGACGATCCTCGACCAGCCAGACATGTCCATCTGGGAAGTCCGCAACAACAAGCAAAACTTCACTTACTCCAAAATCATGCTCTGGGTCGCCTTTGACCGGGGTCTGCGGCTTGCCGAGAAGAGGAATTTCCCTTGTCCTAATAGGTGGAAGTGGCTGGAGGCAAAGGATAAACTCTATGAGGAAATCATGGAACGGGGCTACAACAAGGAGATGAAGTGTTTCGTCCAGAGTTATGAGAACAACACAATGCTGGATAGTAGTATACTTATCGCCCCGTTGGTGTTTTTTATTGCGCCGAATGATCCGAGGTTTTTGAATACTTTGGACAGGATTATGTTGCCGCCGGAGAAGGGGGGGTTGACGAGTACTGGGTTGGTGTATAGGTATGATACGGAATTATCCGAGGATGGTAAGCTCCCCCTTTGCTGATTTCTTGACAAACAGACCACAAGCTGACACAACTGCTGAAATAGGTGTGGGAGGGAGAGAAGGCGCGTTTAGCATGTGCACGTTCTGGCTGGTGGAAGCCATGACGCGAGCGTCGGTGTATGAGCCAAAGTATCTGGTCAGGGCGATCAACCTGTTTGAGAACATGCTCAGCTTCTCGAACCATCTGATGATGTTCAGTGAAGAAATCAGCAGGAGTGGTGAGCAGTTGGGGAACACACCGCAAGCGTTCTCCCATCTGGCGCTGATCAGTGCGGCGTTTAATTTGGATAGGGTGTCGGAGTTTAAGCGCTGAACGGTGAGGTAGTAGATACTTATGAGGAAATGATGATATGTAAAGTTCTTGGTTTATATGTTTCCGTCTGCATACCTCGATTGGTAGCCATTCACCCTCCCCACAAAAGCGAAAGTGACACTAGCCTATATTATATGGTGAACCACGCCTCAAAGGTGGACGAATAGGCCTTTTAACTATCTGTAAAGACCTATCAACTATCTTAGAAAGCTTCACAATTATCCTTCGAGGTATGTCTCACAATATAATATGGGTTGATCTACTTTCGCTGTGCCAAATATTTGTGGTGAGGGCGCCATTATACATCAATATTACAACACGCTACTTCTGTCGCTATTTTCAGTCCTATCCCTTCCTCAAAATTAAACTGGCCCATTCAATCAGTGTATCTGCTCCAGCTTCTATTCGTGCTACCTCCAGAACCCCTCCTTTGCTCAAAGTGAAATAGCACCCCCGAGTACCTAGATATCCTCTTGTCTTCCGTAAATCACCCCCCCCCCCCCCCCCAAAAAAAAAAAAAAACGCCACTCGCTATGCCTGTATTTTCCCTGCCTGGCCCAGCAACTCAAAAATGGTATCTAAACAAACGCGCCGGTACCCATGCTTCTTCTCCTCTTGCTCAATTTGCAGGCCTGAAATCAAACTTCCACCGACCCCAACACGAAAAAGCTCCCATCAGACGAGCAAAATGTCTCACCATCATTCTCTGCCCCCGCCTCCTCCGCTCCACCCTCTCCCTCAGTACTCACACTCTCCCTTCCCAGCGTTGGAGGACTAGAGACAGATTCCTCCCCAGTCTCCTAAGCCCCCAAGTCATCCATCTCAACCCCATTTTCCACACCACCCATGCCAATCCCAATGTCCAGATCCATATCCACGTCCTCATCCGCAAGCGAACTAAGCCCCGAACTGCCCGGACGTGAATCTTCCCCGTCGCCATTTACGAGGTTATGGTTCTCCAACGGTGGTGGTGTCGGTCTCTCGGCTGCCTTTTTTCGTATCTCCTCCCACTCTCTGATGCTTGTCGGGCCTCCTCCCTCAATAGCTACCTCTCCTTGCTCGATTGGTCGGCCTAGAAGTGTGCCAAGAAATTTGGTGTCGTCCGCTCCTTTGCTGTGTTTCTTTATGAGGGCTATGCATGAGTTAGCAAGATAGATCTGTAATAAAAAGGAGGCCAGGGCGGAACAAACCGTCAAGATAATCCTTCGCCTCATCATTTCCATCAAGCGCTATCCTCTGAATCTCCTTGTTGATTGGCCCCATCGCCCAGGCAATAAATGCCTCCACTCCTCTCATGTCCTCGATTCCGAGGTAGTCTTGCTCCTGTTGGGACTTCTCCGGTAATAAAGCACCGACTTCTTGAAGCGCCATCCGCACGTCTACTACTGATGGTGTGGCGACTGAAGGGCTGGTTACGCCTGGTGGTGGGACATAGTCGGAGTAGGGGTTAAGAAATGGGCCGTCTGGCGCGATGAATGTGCCGTTATTGAGCTCAAAGAGGATTTCGTCCTCGTCTGTGAAGCCATCTAGAGCGTGGCTGTTGAGGGTGGCGTGCTTGGCCGTGAGGAAGCATAGTCGGTCGAGGTAGGCAGCTGCTAGTTGCGTGACAAAATCCAATACTGAAGGCTTCATTGCGTGGTAACCGGTTGCGCGAAGGATCTGAAGGACTGCTGGCCTCAGGAGGGCCTGGAAGTAAGCCGGCGTTGGCGCCATTCTGAGAGTGCTTGGGATGAGGTTGATGAAATGGGTGATGATTTTCGAATGGTGGTTCGAATTGTGAGCGATGGATGAATACAAATCGCACGCAATTCCCGATTTCTGAGTTTGAGTTGACAAAAGTGCCGAGTCGATGAGTTAGGTCAAACAGCTCGACTCCCACGATGTGGGTTGGCGTGTTCGACTTGGGGGGTCGCAACCAGAACAGCTCCAGTCAACAGCTCTCTGCCATCACCGTCGACCTCCTATCCGATGATCTCCCCCGTCTGAGCTTGCGCTGCAATTTGACCCCAGCTGGCGCACTCCCTTCCCAACTTCCGCTCTCCTCGTCTCAGCGCCAGGAACCTTCGGTGTAGAACGTGATGCCGTAGCTGAATCCTGTGAGTGTATCGATCTTTAAACACGCAATTCTGATATGTAATATGATAACAGAGTCGTGGGAGGTACCAATTGCGCGCTGATGAAGATTGTTGATGCTGATTTGGAGTCGGTGATGTGAGTGAGTGGGAGTCGTGAACTTTCAGGTGAACCGTGCCAGGCGTGTCTGCAAGGGAGCTCACTTGCGGTGGTGGGGCGCCAGGGTCCACACCTTCGGTGAGAGTGGGGTGGCTCTAGCGTTCCCGTTATTTGCACCCTCACCCCCTCCATGGACATCATTTTCTACTGCACAGTAAGCTCATGATGAAGAATTGCTGTTCTGCAGCAGGTACTATGAGCATGATATTCTACGAGGAGGGAGGCAACATATGTGTATTATTGCTCCGCCGTGTACCTACAAAACCCAACGTGACACAGTCTCAGGCCAAGAGTCTATACCAAAGCAGCCTCGAACTGACTGCTGACTTTTCCCCGGAAACTTCACTTCTAGTCACTATGTAACGAAGCCAGGTAATTCGGACCCAGCTGAATGGTGGATATAGTCGTGCTAGGTAGGTATCTCGGGAAGTATGCAGCTGAATTTCTGCGAGCAACGGACAGCTGTAACCACCAGTCAGCTCGCTGTAGACACCAACATACGAGACTCGGCTCTATCATGTGAGGTCTCAGGATAGCTTGACTGAAGCCCAAACACCCATACCCATAGTACTCATTCCTGAGGTAATATGCTCCCCAAATCGTTGTATACATACAATACATCATATTATACACAAAGGCGCGGACCCCCCATTCGCCCAACACCTCACCACCCCCCAACCCCAAAGCCAAAGTGACCCTACATCACCCTTTACATGGTCTTGAGGTAGTTGCTCTCCTTGATGTTGGCACGTCTCTCCTTGCGCATGGCCTTGCGCAGTTCCTGTCTCTTGTCGGCCGCCTCCAACACCTCCTTGAGCTCGCCGGTCGGGGCGGCGGGAAGGTTGATGGTCTGCTTCTGGATTGGGATCTTTGGTGCGAGGGCCTCGAGGTCACCGGATGCCATGAGTTTCGCCTCGAGTTGTCGCTGTCTCTTCGCCGCTAATCTACGTTGCTTCTTGGATTTGGCTGTGAAAAGGATTGTTGTTAGCATACGAATACTCCCCTGACCGCACACACACAAGAAGAATGAAACATACAATAAGCATCTCCAGCATCCGCATCAGCATCATCGCTGCGCTTCTGTCCTACTTCCACGCACTTCCAGAGCCACTCGGGGTACTGATCATCGGGGAGCGCCACAGGATCGGTTTTGCCCTTGAGGTAGTTGAGGCCGTTGAGAACGGTGCCAGCAGGGCATGACGAGAGACCGGCGGCATTGTCTGCTGTTGGCTCGGTGTTTAAGGGAGTGAGTTCGGGAGCCTCGGCGGCAGCGGCGGCATTGCGCGCGCGGAGGGTGGTGCTGAAGAAGGCTTGTGGTATCCTCGGTGTCGTCCTCGTCACTGTTTGGGATGTGATTGCTGTGAACTGCCTGGAGGTCAGGCCAGACGCCTGCCGGAGACACCTTCGGCAGATCATGATTTTTGAAGAATGTGTCGGCGAACGGGGGACTGCTGTGGTTGGTGGTGGAATGGGGGAGGGGCACTTCTTGAAGGCCGCGGGTGGTTTGCGGAGGAGCCAAGCTAAAAATTTCTAGGGAGGCCGAGATGCACAATTGCGCCGTTTGGTAATTGGATGGATGTCATGTCCAGCTCACGACAAGCGCAACATCTACATTTTAAAATCAACTATTGCGCATGGGCATAAAACATGTAATTGACACTTAAACATATTCACGGTGATTTTAACAGGTCTCCATTGTCTGTATTTACAATATCGAGTCCCCGGCGCAGCGACTCAATGGCCAAGGTAAACAGCTGCCATGCTTGCTCTGCCGTCATGGCTGCTTGTTCCTGCCGAGTCCACCCATCCACCACCACAGCTACCCGGCCGTCCACTTTATAATGCCGTCTATTCACTCCCCAAAGCTCACATTCACTGTCTTCAAAATCCATGTCGGTCCGCAACCCCTCATTCCTTGGGAATAATGTTTTGCTGCTCAAAGAGGTAACCCTTGGCCCGGGAGTCCTTGAGAAGCTCGAGATACCGCTCTGCACCATATCATTAGTATATATTCCAATGACAAACACCAAAAATTCCGCATAGTTTCTGGCCAGAATCCCCAATCACATAGCGTCGATCCTGTCCTTCTGATGCCCTGCCATCTTCCCCAGACCAAAACTAACCTCTGAGACGACCGCACTTCTCCAAGTGGTTGACACCCTCCCGGTAGTAACATTTGCTCAGCTCCTCCCGCACTAGCCGACCCATCATGACCTGAACCCATTGCTCCCGGATAATGGCATCTTGAGCGGCCTTGAGGCGCTTGGTGTCCTCGAAATCGACGCCATCGAAGGAGGCGGGGACCTTGGGCTTCTTGGCCAGGAAGGCCTCGGACTCGGGGGTAGGCATGATGCTGGAGGAAAGGCCTGCGAATTGGTGATATTCGGGGCCTGACTATCGGTTTGTTGCGGCGGGTGGACAGCAGGGTTCGGTGCAGCAGTCCAGCGACGGAGATGCTTCACTTCGAGAGCGGGATGCCGAACTCACAACGCCATTGCCAGCTGCCCACCTACCGCAGGTGGTCCGAGCTCCCAAGCTTGCTGTGCGCTCTGCCATATTCTGCCTGATTTTACAGGCGGCAAATTGGACGCAATACTGCCAAGGCCAATTCCGTGCACAAAACCCATTACAGCCAACTAGCGTGCTTCACCGCCCGCGTTGCCCCGCTAAAAAGTGCAAGATAAGAGTTTTTTCTGCTTATCGAGCCTCGCGAGCGCAAGCTTTGCGACTGCCCTCTTATAAATTTCTTCCCTCCTTCCCCCAACCTCCCACCAAACTTTTTCTATCTGCATCCTCTCACCTTCGCCCATCTCAGGAAAAGCATCTTTCAGCCTTTTCCACTTCAATCTTCATCACATTTACAATGGGCAAGACCAAGGAAGCCAAGGGCAGCAAGGCCACCAAGGCCGCTGCTAAGCCCGCCGCCTCTCCCGTCGTCAAGAAGGTCGAGAAGGCCGTCAAGTCCGCCAAGGAGGTCGCTAAGAAGGCCATCGGGTCCAAGGAGAAGGCCACCGACAAGAAGTCCAAGAAGAAGGTCGAGTCCGAGTCTGAGTCCAGCGAGTCTGAGTCCGACTCCGAGTCTGAGGCCAGCTCCTCCAGCTCCGAGGAGGAGTCCGACTCTGATGAGGAGATGGTCGATGCTCCCGTCACCAACGGCAAGGCTAAGGCCGCCGCCGCCAAGGAGAGCTCCGACTCTTCCGACTCTGACTCTTCCGACTCCGACTCCGAGTCTGAGGAGGAGGAGAAGCCCAAGGCTGCCGTGAACGGCAAGGCCGCCAAGGCTGAGAAGAAGGCCGAGTCCGGCTCTGACTCCGTAAGTCACCACTACCTGACCATCATGGCTGTCCATGCATCATGCTAACCGATTCTTGACAGTCTGAGGAGGATTCCGACGACTCCGGCTCTGACTCTGACTCTTCTGAGGAGGAGGAGTCTTCCGAGGAGGCTTCTTCCGAGTCTACCGAGGAGAAGGCTGAGCCCTCCAAGAAGAGAAAGGCTGAGGAGGAGGCTGAGGAGCCCGAGGCCAAGAAGAACAAGGCTGTTGAGGACAGCGAGGAGAAGAGCGCCACCCTCTGGTGCGGCAACCTCGGCTGGGGCATTGATGACAACATCCTCTACGAGGAGTTCAAGGACTTCGAGGGTCTCACCGGTGCCCGTGTCGTCTCCGACAAGGAGAGCGGCCGGTCCCGTGGCTTCGGCTACATCGACTTCGACACCCACGAGAATGCCGAGAAGGCTTTCAACGCCAAGAACGGCGGCGATCTTCAGGGCCGTGAGATGCGTCTTGACTTTGCTGCCAAGCCCGCTGCCGCTCCCCAGGACCGCGCTGCCGCCCGTGCCAGCAAGCATGGTGATGTCGTCAGCCCCCCCAGCGACACCCTTTTCGTCGGCAACCTCCCCTTCAGCGCCGATGAGGATGGCGTCTCTGCCTTCTTCAACGAGGTCGCCAAGGTTCAGAGCCTCCGCATCCCCACTGACATGTAAGTTGCTACCTGCCTCACTCCTTTCTCTCTGTGTTCATGCATGCTGACAACATCTACAGGGAGAGTGGCCGTCCCAAGGGCTTCGCCTATGTCTCTTTCTACTCCATCGATGATGCCAAGAACGCTTTCGAGCAGCTCAACGGCGCTGACATCGACGGCAGACCAGTTCGTCTTGACTTCGCCAAGCCCCGTGACAACAACGGTGGCGGCGGTGGTGGTCGCGGTGGTGGCCGTGGCGGTTTCGGCGGCCGTGGTGGCGGTCGTGGCGGCGGCCGTGGCAGCTTCGGTGGTGGACGTGGTGGTGGTCGTGGTGGTGGCCGCGGCGGCTTCGGTGGCGGTCGCGGTGGTGGCAGCGGCTTCCAGGGCAAGAAGGTCACCTTCTAGGCGAAGAAGACCGATGGTGATGAAACCAAACGTGGAGGCCATGGGGCCCGTGGCTAGAAGATCGTCTTCTGAACAGAGGTTGGGGAGGGAATGTGAACATGCTGTCCTGGGAATGGGACACAAGAGAGTCGAGGTGGAAAGCGATGCGCCGCACACAAAGTGGGATCGGTTCGAGGGCTCTACCTAAGACATACTCGAGGGCTTGTTGGTTGTCGGCTTTTGAGAACTTAAACTCCAATCCTTTGGAGTCGTGGGCTTGAGGTTGCGACTGTACCTGAGGGCTTTGATCGTTGAACACTGGCTGGTTTGCTCTTGACAGCTTCTTGCATCGGCTGCCGCGATGCTAGCTGGTTCTGCCAGACCTTGGCAATCAGCTTGATCACAGATGGGTTTCCCAGGCACTCTGTCGGCTCGTGGGTTTTTGTGGGCTCTGCTGGCTTCGGCCATTGCTTGCGCGCGCGGTTTCCTATGAGGGTTCTGGGGTTCAAGGGTTCATTCTGGGGGCATCACAAAAGTTTTGTTCGGTTATAATATCCACGGCGTTTTGCTTTTTTTTCCTTTTATTTACTTGGTACGCCAGTAAGTATGTCAACCCTTATGGTTCCGACTTCCAGCGAAGTCATCTCGATACCCAGTCAGCAGGAGCATAATGAGTACATACGTAATCCATAGCGCGGGCGATGATTGTGTCTTGCGTGGTTTTCGGCGTTGTTTCTCACTGACCAGCAGCATTCAGCGACATGTTTCTACTAAAAGGTCAGTCTTTTCTCTTTTCTGCGTCTTCGCCCTCACATGATGATAAAAGGGATTCCTATGCCATTCGGCTGTGAGGTATTGATACAGCTACGGCTGTAACAATTGTTCCTTCTGACATTATCTCTTCGCCCTTCTTTTGAGCTGTTGCTAGTTGGATTCAATGATGCTAACAGCTTGCAGTGTACAGGAATTAGCCGATCGTAAGAGATATCTTTTAGACCTAGCTCGTAATAGAAAAGAAACATTGTTTACTTCAGCATCTGTCCGTGTCAGTTTCTTTTCCAGCCATGTGTTGCCCATGTCAATGCTTCCGTGACCGTTGCTAAAGAATCCATTTGTCCATTGGTCTATCCAATGGACAAGCACAGCCGCCAAGGCCGCTGTTGAGCGCCTTCCTGATGCAAAGTCCACCGCCGGTTCGCCATCAGCAAAGTTGAAACCACCCAAATGATCAGGTTGATCCCGTGATCGGTTCATCTCAACCGTCGTCAAGCTCTCGGATGTTGTTGACTTCGGCTCCGATAAGCCACCATCCGTCGCTATCAACGCCATGCAAAGCTTTCCATTGGCCAATCACCAGCCAGCTACCCCACCATGACGCCGGCAGTGGCAGATAGGCTTGGGGTAAAGCCGAGACAAAGCGGTCCGACAGGATGGCGTCCCTTTATTCAACCATGGAGCTTGTGGGCGAGACCGGGAGATGATGGAATGAGGGGAGAGCTTGTTACCGCAGTATAATTTGGCGGATGGGAGCTGCAGGAAAACGTCAGGACTTTTGCTGTTGTGGCAGATTAAAAAGAGACGGTGTTTGTCTCTTGCGCCGATTCAAACCGGTGGTTGGCATCCTTTATTATTCATCTTTTTGATCGGAACCAACGAAGGAGAGCTAGTTTTGGATTGATAAAAGACAATGGCGTCACGGCAGCTGAGAAGGTTTTCGCTTTCTTCTTCTGGTATTACTACTCGGGCTGCTTTTTCTGGGGTGAAACCTAGGTTGTTGTTGTTGTCAGCTACTGCACCGAGATTGTTGTCTACGAGTTCGACGAGGATGTCGACGATTGCGAGTTTCAAGATCCCCAAGGTGGCTAATGAGCCTAATGTATGTTTGTCACTGGTGGTCTGGAATGATGGGAGATAGCTAACAGGCATAGCACCACTACGCCAAAGGCTCAGCACAGAGAGATGGTCTCGCAGCAGCAGTGGAAGCCCTCCAGAAGAAGGGCCCGTTGCAGGTACCTCTTGTGATTGGAGGGAAAGAGGTATGTACTACCCCATCCTCCTTTTCCTCCACTTACCAATATCTAACACCCCCCTACCAGATCACCACCGAGTCCACCGCAACCCAATACTCCCCCTCCTCCCACACCACCCCAGTAGCGACCTACTCCCTCGCCTCCCCAACCAACATCCGCACCGCCATCTCCTCCGCCCTCGCCGCGCAAGAGTCATGGTCCTCCCTCCCCTTCGCCGACAGAGCAGCCATCTTCCTCAAGGCAGCAGATCTCATCTCGACTAAATACCGCTACCCCCTCATGGCAGCAACGATGCTAGGCCAAGGGAAAAACGCGTGGCAGGCCGAGATCGACGCCGCGGCGGAGCTGGTGGATTTCTTGAGGTTTAACGTCCAGTATGCCGAGGAGCTGTACGCCCAGCAACCGGGACATAACAGTCCGGGGGTGTGGAATAGAGTGGAATACCGCCCGCTGGAGGGGTTCGTCTACGCGGTGAGCCCGTTTAATTTCACGGCCATTGCGGGGAATTTACCGGGTCTGCCGGCGCTGTTGGGGAATGTGGTTGTTTGGAAGCCGAGTGACTACGCAATTGCGAGTAACTGGTTGCTTTATAATATTTTGGTGGAGGCTGGGTTGCCTAGGGAGGTGATTCAGCTTGTGCCTGGGGATCCGGAGGAGGTGACGAGAGAGGTGCTGTCGCATAGAAAGTTTGCGGCATTGCATTACACGGGCAGCACGGCGGTGTTTAGGAAGCTGTATGGGGAGATTGGAAAGGGGGTTGCGGAGGGGAGGTATCAGAGTTATCCCAGGATTGTGGGGGAGACGGGGGGAAAGAACTTTCACTTGGTGCACAGCTCGGCGGATTTGGAGAATGCGGTTGTGCAGACTGTTAGGGGGGCGTTTGAGTACCAGGGGCAGAAGTGTAGTGCTACCAGTCGGTTGTATGTGCCCAAGTCGAGGTGGGAGGAGTTTAGGGGGAGGTTGGTGGAGGAGACGGAGAGGTTGACGGTTGGGAACCCGTGGGAGCATGAGAGTTTTGTTGGGCCGGTTATTCATGAGGGGAGTTTTAAGAAGTTGGCGAGGACGATTGATGAGGCGAATGGGGATGAGGAGTTGGAGTTGCTTACGGGGGGGACGTATGATGGGTCGAAGGGGTGGTTTGTTAAACCTACTATTTACTTGGCCAAGAAGCCGGATCATAAGCTGTTTTCTACGGAGCTGTTTGGGCCCGTGTTGACGGTTTATGTCTATGATGACACGACTGATCCGGTTGGGGCGTTTGGGAAGGTGTGCGAGGTTGTGGATGGGGCGACGGATTATGGGTTGACGGGGTCGGTATTTGCGGCTGACAGGGCGGCGGTGAGGTTTGCGGAGGAGAAGTTGAGGAATGCGGCGGGTAACTTTTATATCAACTGCAAGAGCACGGGAGCAGTGGTGGGACAGCAGCCGTTTGGAGGGAGCAGGGCGAGCGGCACCAACGACAAGGCAGGGAGTATCGCCATTTTGGGGAGGTTTGTGAGCATGAGGAGTATCAAGGAGGAGTTTAACGCCACGACAAAGGTGGCATATCCGAGCAATGAGGTGTGAGCTGGAGGGGGAGCACGTGCGAGGGTTGACACGGCCATCTGATTGGAAGACTTGGTAGATGGTGACATTTACGACCGGAACGAACATTGACAAGCTTCTAGTTCTTCGTTAGGGAGTTTGGGTAGGATGGCTTTGACATACAGATAATCAAAAACGGTTACACAATTATATTGACGGTCCACGATGGTGGGTGGAGCATGCTGTGAAGGTTTGCCGGGCACATGTGTGAGGCATTGGATGGGCTGTTTCCCTTCCTCAGGGTATCACCGGGCAAAGGGTTACAGTTGCCCCCAGCCGTTGGGAGATAGACGGGCATCATTACTACCGAATGGTAGCCTCTTTTTGATGGTCGTGCGAGTGAGATGCTCTGAACGCCCTCGTGGACCCTGATGGTTTCCAGGGGATGGATGATCGACAGGCCCTGTACAGAAAATGGGAGCTATGATCTTGCCAAGTCGATGACACCCCATTTGGTTTCTTGTAGAAAATGCTTGGCTCTGGGGTGAACTACACAGCCGACTTGACACGAGTGGTGGCCGGCCAATCAACTTGGCGGATTCCACCCCGTGCTGCCCAGAAAGGATCGGGACTCGTGAAGCTGAGCACGCGACTGTGCTGCTCTCTTTCCTCGCCAGCCAGCCAGCGATAGCAACCTTGCGGGCGTGGGCACGGTGTCGCAGATTCGCAGTTGAGCTCCCTCCCGATATCTGCCTTGCCTGCTTCCCGCTGCTTGCTCACACTCAGGTTGGCGGTCTGGTTGGTTTTATACAGGGTCCTGTTCGTGTGTTAATCCTTCCCCCGGATCTTCAATATAACAACCAACTTATTTTTCCCATTCTTGATCTTTCTTTCCATCATGGACGATTCCATATTGTAACCTTGTGATTGCCGTCAAGGCCTCGTTTTCCTTGCTTCTTTCATCACCAGTGCTGAGCACGTTTCGTCCCGGAGCATCGGTCCCCAACTTGTTACGCCTGTGCCTTACCTTTCATCTTGTTACGCATACATTCATTCGGGTCGCAATCAAGATCAGGTTATTCAATATGCCTCGAACGACATTACCCCCGACTCCGGCTTCCTCAACCGACATCAAAGGGAAGGATGGATCAAAGATGGTGTCGCATCAGATGTCGTTTGAGCTGCCTCCTCCAGCTATAGCTGCCAAACCGACAAACCCGGCAGCATCTTCATCCCAGACGGTATTTCCAATGCAAGCCAGCGAGACGGTCAAGTCAAGAAGGCGGACGGCTGCTGCTGCTGCTGCTATTCAGCCTGCCCCAGCGAAGGATGAGTTTGTCCTTCCGCCTCCCCCGACGAGGTCTCGCAAGATCATTCAGATGAAGCCCAAGGAGGAGACGGCAGTGTCGACAACATCGACGACAAGGACGGCTGCTGCTGCTGGCAGTTCCAAGTCCAACAAAGCAGCCGGCAGTGCTACTACCACGACTACCACCACAACAACCACAGCCGGAACCAAGAGAAAACAACCCTCCGCCACGAGCGCCGCAGGGAGGAAAATCGCAAGAAAAACCGCCCACAGCCTCATCGAACGTAGAAGAAGATCAAAAATGAATGAGGAGTTTGCCGTTCTCAAAAGCTTGATCCCAGCTTGCACTGGGGAGATGCACAAGCTGGCTATTCTACAGGTAATATGTCCCCCTTTTTTCCCACCCCTTTCCTTCCTATCACTAATGACATACCTGTCCCCAGGCCTCAATCGAATACGTCCGCTACCTCGAAGACTGCGTCAGCCAGCTCAAAGCCCAGCGCAGCAACACAACATCTGAATCAGAAGCAAACGCGCCCACCCCGACCACTAACACCCTCCCCTCCCCGGTTTTCGCACCGTATATCCCGTCAAGTTCCTCCCCCGAAGACGTGGAAATGTCAGGGCAATCTCCCTCATCATCTACCTCGGCGGCTCCATCACCGGCGTTTACGCCTACTGTGTCGCACCCTCACTCGAGGTTGCCGTCTATTTCTCCTGCTTTGCTGCCGCTGGATCAATCCCGGAATCGGCACGGGTCTGTTTCTTCTGTTTCTACGGGCACGGATCATTATAGGTCTGGGTCTTTCTCGTTGGGGGGGGGAGGGGGTAGTAAATTCTGAACAAAAGAAAAAAAGACAAGAGAGGAGGAGATAAAAATGAATAAAAGTTGTGGATAATTAAAATTTAAGAAGTGTAAAGATAAGAAAATTAAAAAAAAATT